TGTGTGTGTGTGTATATATACATACACACTCTGCAATAATTCAATATATATATGTATATATACATATATATACATATATATATATACATATATATATATACATATATATATATACATACACTTTCATCTTACGTCGATGTAAACGTAATGGGAATTTTCGTAAATATAAATCTACCTTATGGCATAGTTTAATAGAAAACGAAAAGAAGAATAAAAGAAGTAAATATGAAAGGTGTTTTTTTAATCATAATATATGTATCTACCATACTGTGTAATGCAATAATAAATATGGAGCCCTGCTGCGAGTACATATGTACAATATTGGAATCATTGCGATCGCCGTCCAGTCGCTCTGTTGCAATAATTCAATATTCAATAAATTAAATATTAGTAAAGATTCTCTCACAAACTGCAGGAAGTTATGTTATATTTGATTTGAATAACACACACCCGGATTATGAAAAATATAATATTACTTTTTGTGCCATAAAGCATCAGTTACTCGTACACGCATACATACAAACACATGTGCGCGTTATTCATTGATTCCTCCCATACTCGCACACTGGGCATAACGTTTTTATTCTCTTGACGATCTCTTTGTCCTGTGTAATCACGTGTAATTTGTACATTTAGCTATATTAATGCTACGAACAAAAACTAAATAATTGATTCTATACAAGAGTATGCAATTTGTAATTATATTTATAACCGTAATAGCTCGTCGTTTCGGGAGAAACGATCAATTAACTCTTTTCTGTTAAATACTCTCTAATCAGAATTCAATGAACATGGTACATTGTATTCGGAGTACCTATAAATTACTTGTAACATGGCTTCTGATTGATTATCACGAGTCAACAATGTTTGATTCGCTAGCAAACAAACTGAGTAAATACACGATATCTAGCCTCGTCTATAAAAGATAAGAGGATAAAAAAGAAATCGTAAGAAAAATATCGATTGACGATCGTCTACCCTGAACGAATATTATTACTCTCCACTACGATCTCGATATAAATTATATCATATGGACGGGTTGTACGAAGAGGAGACACACTTTCCTTCCTCGCTTCCTCGCTTTTCTCTAATGCTTTCCTCATTAAAGGGGAAGGTTTACAGTGATCTTAATCTACAGTAGAACCGAGTTTAGAAAGGATCGACCGTCTAATCTAGTCTAGATTATTCTGACTGAGATTGTGAAGTTAACACGAGCTCGTTTAGCTTATGTACAGCATCGATATTATCCGATATGCGATATTACCCACTGTCACGGATTGAGTCCGCCTGGTCTTTTTCGGTTTCGTCTGTTCCTTTCTAGGAGGAACGACAAGTCTAACGGATCTTTTTTATTCGGCATTTTCTGCAGTAGATGCAGAAGGATGCTATTCAGTCGTTTCTTCTGATCTTCTCTCTGCGAAGCATATTGAAATTGAATGCATCGTCACAAATGACGAATTTATATGACAATGATGACAATTTATACAATCACTACATGCGTCATTACCTGAAGATACGTTGTAGATGATGATGCGATCGTCAAGATATCACATCCCGATTTTTGTCTGGTTCTATTACTGCCAGCGCACTTGTGCTCCTTGTGCGGCTTCGCGTTGTCGCCGGACTCCATTTTTTGATTCCCGTCTTCGTGATTGTTGTTATTCTTCTTTTTGTCCTTGGACAACAAGAACTTCTTGCCGAGCTGGATTCCGTCGAGGCTGTGTGGCTATAGATTATATATATATCTATATAATATATATTGTGTGTGTGTATATATATATATATATATACATACATATGTGTATATATATGCATATATGAGATGTATAAATTAATTTTCGGCCCTAATATTAAGTAAATTGTAACATTTATTTAATTCCGGTATTTATTTGACAGAATGTATACCTTGAGGTTTTCGACTTTTTCCCCAAAATGCCCCCCTCCTTAAAACTTATACAAATATCTTTTTATGACTTATTTTATTGATAATTAAAAAAAAAAAACTTCAGTTTTCAGTGGAGCAGTACTTCCAAACATTTACCAGTCTCTCTTATCGCCTTCTTATTTTTCAATAAAAGAATAGTTAACGTAAGAATAGTTTGATTGCTGAAATTAAAAACGTGATATCGGAAGCCGTTTTCATACTGTGATACATGTAAATAATACTAACTTTGATTTCAATTATTTTATTTATGTTTAATTTACTAATCTTTTTCTAATTTTACACATGTGTAGATCGTGTTTCAATTAACATGCTATTGAAATTTGAAAAGATTCCTAAAAAATAAATTTGCGGGCCATTTTAAGAAAAAAAAAAAGGAATTTTCGATTATGATATATCAGAGATATACTTACCAAGTAGGTGCGATAATGCTTTATACGCTGTGGGAAGGTTTCGAACGCATACGGTTTCGTACATACTTGATGCCTGGCTCGAGATACCTTCGTGAAAAGCCGCGCCGCACGATCGACACGATATTCGCACACGTAGGTGTGCTCAGGAGTGGAACCTACCGGACGACCTGAATTCCAGAACGATTAGGAAGGCTAATGTTCGTGAGGCAAAAATTGAGAGATGATATAACGAATAGCGCTAAATATACCTTTGCAGAACGTATGAGGATCGAGAACCCAACAACGCTCGGCCACGAGATCGCAAGGGACAGCTTCGTACAATGGAGCACATACGACTTCGTTCACGTAGAACTTCCGCGACGGCTCATGATATGTTTCGTGAGGTCTTAGGTAGTGGTGCCCAAACACAAACCTCTCGCCCCTGTTTAACAATAGTTTAGTTTCAACCTTAACGACCATATTGATATGATCTTTATCTCGAAATAATATTATAAGTAGTCTAAAAAAATTAATATATAAATAATACTATAAGTAGTATTACCAATTTAAAATCATGTACAGGGTGAAGCAATAATTATTAGCTTGAATATTTTTTAAATCTCATTAAATATAATATGAGAATAGAAAAGAAAAATTTATCTAACAGAAATTACCAGTCAATACCAGTCGATTACTATCGATATCAGTGATTATCAATTTGACGCCTTTTGCAATTGTAAACATTCTTCATCTAATCGTTAATAAAATATTTTGATCTCTCAAAGATATTTAAATCCGGGTCAATAGGTACAGTAAGCCTTTGGCTCTAAGCGATAAAATGTAATTTTTAACAAAATGCGTTTCACAAAATTATAATAACGCACTAAAAGTTATAATAACGCTTAAATCTTAAAAAATTACGACATTTCTAGAGGCACTTTGCTAGAAATTATGTTATAAGTTAGTGCTTAGAGCAAAAAGCCTTGGACTTCCTGAAGTATGTTCCAAAATTAATCTTGGTCAACTTTGATGGTTTTAGGAGTGGAAGAAATATAAGTTACCTGAGGTAGGAATTGTTTATAACAAGTTTTAGATGTTAAAAGGGGATGGCCATTTATAGTGGGACATCCTGTATATATGCAAACACAAATATTAATAAAATATATAATTATATAAATTGCTTACGCTGCGTTTTTCCAGAGACGTTCGATTCTGAAAATGTCCATCTGCTCATAGTCGGGCTTCTGTATGGTTTTGTAAGTATGCTTCTCAGGTGTGTCCCTCAAAACATACACCGTGTCACCTTGTCGGAGCTGTAGATCACCTCGCAGTAACGTCACGTAATGCTTCTTGCCTTTTTCCTCGTCGTCGCAGTCCATTGAGACTTCTACTTCTAATGGAATCTCCAGATCGACCTCGCGCGGCTGACATCTCTCGCACAAGTAAGACTCAATGCTGGTATCCGCTTTTACGCAGTCGCAGTGCTGCCAAACGAGACATCGTTCGCACTGGATCATCAAGCCTTCGTCCCTACATAGAAACATCGGTAAAATGTACTTCTTCTTTCGTTAGGCCCGCGTTTTTCTCTCACTCATGTGCTTGTGCCAATTATACACAAGAATATGGGACCTACTACAGTTTAACGCAGACTCTGAACGATTTATTTGCGAGAGGTTCTTTTGGACAGACATACTCTGGTGGCTTGCCAGACTGTCCAGAAAAGACACAAGCGTATACAAATTTTTCCGGTTTTGCCGGGAATCGAACCTCTAAGTGTCGCAGACCAATACGCTGTCTGCTATACCGCGATAAAATATACTTAAAATATTAATATACAATTATACAAGATGATTGAGGGGGAGCCGCAATATTTGGAGAGTGTGTTCAGAAAATCAGAATAGACAAAAAAAAATCTTATAATCCTATAAATCCTATCCTATAGGTCCGACCCTCAGCCGTTACGGAGTTAATGGATGTTATAAATAAACGTTTACACATAGATCAGTGATGCCATGTGACCAAGCTGTTAATCACAACATTGAAAATCGCGTACGTGTACGCGCGTAGGAAAAACAATAGTTTTATAATTGTAAGTATTTATTTTGACATTGATTTGTTTAAGTCGCTTAATTAGATATTACTACATATTTATATATTGAATCGAACCTATGTTTATAGAATTGTTTTGTCCATTTTGATTCCCTGAACACATTCTGCAAATATTGCGATTCCCTCCCCAATCACTCTGTATATTTAAGGTTGCCGAGTACTCAGCCAAGAACTCCGTATTGACAGTGGCGACATAGTTTACAACGACAAAAAATGAACCAAAAGAGTGCAGCTCAGCAAGCGTTACAAATGCTTCGAATGTTTCTCCTTCTTCATCTATCTTTTAGATCCGAATAAAGGAAGAAAAAGAAGGAGAAACGTTTCAAAACATTTGCAACGCTTGCTGGAACTACACCTATATGCGTGAAGAGTGGCGTGTTGATAATAAATTTTTGTGTGTGCTTTATTGTGCAGCAATGACTTGTGACACTTGTTAAATTCATAAAAATGTCCGAAAACTAAGGTTAGTCTAAAATCTTATACATGGGAGGGTATTTTCTACTCCTTATAACAGCTGCAAACCCGTGTGTTTTTCTGTATGAATAGACCTTATTTCACCTATTACAGCTGTTTATTGATTGTCAGGAGGGGGAAAGGATAGTTTTCGGACATTTTCACAAGTATCTTCAAGCGGTCTTAAGTGTTATTTTATTCTCTTTATTTGCAAATGGCATGCAAGAAATTTCAACGTGTCATTTCTCACTTATGACGTCACGAATCCAGTATAGTCGCGGCGACTACTCAGAAACCTTAATATAAAATTTGCAAAAATACAGCATAACTATATATGTATCATCACAACAATAATTATGATACGCACATTAATTTGCAATTCTTAAAAGATGCGCTTAGAAGAAATTGATAATAAATTGAGACGATCGATGTGTACCTGTGCAATCCACAAATACATCTGATAACATCCTCTTCTCCAGCCGTGGAACCACGAGGTGGTAAGAAGCCCTGCGACGGTGGGGAGCCCATTGCTTCCGTTATAGCGTTCACGAAGTCGGGCTTGCTTCCTAGATACAATTTTCGCAGCCTCGCCGCGGCGATGCCAATTTCAGACGTCCTGCCAAAGAACCTCACGTTGTTGTCGAACAATCTTATCATATCGTGGTCGAAATGCTCCGCGGTCTTATAATGACCGGTGCCGATGCATTGGTCTATCATGCTCAAGTCGATGGGCTCCGTGACCTTCTCATAATAATCCGGCAATTTCCTCTTAGAAGGTAAGGTCATGAACGGCGTGCACAATAGCTGACCGTTCTCGTCATTTGCCGTTGCGACGATTGTGTACAGATCTTTCAATACCTGCGGGAAGAGAACACTCGTTAGAATGATAACGCGGCTTGGAGTGGACCGCGCGCAATTAAAGACCGCATGCGAGCGCTTCACAGGAACCGAGAGGGTAATAGCGACGCAGGGGGTGGGGAGTTATATCGAGTAGGAAGGCTCCGAAAGAACCTCTCAACATGTGTACACAAAAGTATTTTTTTAAATATTTAATATTGGCTTAAATAAATGGCTTTTTTGAGAAAACTTTTTCATGTCCGGATTCTAGCGCCGCACCCTGTATATTTTCACATAAGATTATCTGTCTTACAGGGTAAAAAGCTATTTCAATATTCTGATTCACTCTGTATATTCTCATATACAGGGTGTCCCAGACCACCCGTCTCACCCGATTTTTTCGTAAACGCGACATTTTAAAGAAAAATGTTTCAGACAAAAGTTTTGTGACTTCGAGGGGCACATAAGATGGTGTCATTGGTTTGACCTTGGATAGTCGTTTGAAGATCACGTGAAGGTCACCTTTAATTTCTTAAATGGAAACCCCCATTTTTCAATGCATATTCTTGTAGCTTACCTCGAGAGCTTTCCAAAACGCTATAATGAAACGTTTTTTTAATCAGTACTTTTCGAGTTATGAGGGTTGAAAGTTACGGTACCGCCGGCATTAGCATTACCCAAGGTGGAGGTTGCACGGTCGGATTTACACCTCTTT